TAACAACTTGGATGAACCTCCAAGGAACTATGCCAAATTTAAAAAAAGCTAATCCCAAAGGTGACATACCATACGACTATATTTATATCAACATTTTTGAAATGACAAATTTAAAGACATGGAGAACAGATGAGTTGCCAGGGGTCAGAGAAAACATGCAAGTGGGAGGGAATGAACTTGGCTTTAAAAGGACAACAGGAGGGATCCTCATGGTGATGAAACTATTCTTTATCTTGACTGTATGGTTGTGATATCATAGCACACTTTTGCAATAGGTTACAACTGGAGGAAACTAATTAAAGGGTATATGGGATCTCTCTATTTTTCTTATAACTTCTACATCATAATGATATTTGTTATATTTTATTTTACATAGTTTCTCAAAATATAAAATTTCATTTAAAAATGATGTGAACAAAAAAAAATGATGTGAACAATGTAAGTACATGATAAAATAGGAGAAAACCTGTGATATCATCAAGTGAAAAAAAGCAGAATAAAAAACTACGATTAAAGAAGACAAAAAGTAAAGAAATAAGCATAAATCTTGAGAGATTAGGCAAAAAACAGGAAAAGAAAATAAATATAAAAAGTTGAAAATTAAGTAAATACATATGAAAAGTGAAAGTGAAACTCGCTCACTCGTGTCCAACTCTTTGTGACCCCATAGACTATACAGTCCATGGAATCCTACAGGCCAGAATACTGGAGTGGGTAGCCTTTCCCTTCTCCAGATATCTTCCCAACCCAGGAATCAAACCCAGGTCTCCCACATTGCAGGCAGATTCTTTACAAGCTGAGCCACAAGGGAAGCCCCCCGCTTCAAAAAAATATATATATAAATATATATATATATATACAAAATAAGGTAAAAGGGATAAATATATCCAAAACCAGGTTCTATAAAGCCACCAAAAATAGATAAAAGTGCTTATATATAAAATATGAGACAGAATATAAAGTCAGACATGACTAAGCCCAAGAAAGAAAAATATGACTACAATGAGGGGAAAGGCTTCTTTAATTATAGAACTATATGCTCAACTAAGTTCATGGCAATATTTTTGAGAACTCAGAATAGATAACTCCTAGAAAAATACAAATGATCAAAATTTACCCAAAATGATTTGAATATATGATTTACCACATAAAACACTGGAAAGGTGATTAAGGGTCTACCCATTGAAAAAGGCACTGAGACTTCATATTTGGGTTTTACAGTTGACTTTTATCTGATCTCAAAAAACAAACAAACAAAAAAATACCACAAAATTTCTAAGGGTAGTTAAAGTATTCCAGGCCAGAGAAAAGAAGGAAAATTCTGCAGTTCATTTTATGTAACCTACATAATTTTAATCCTTAAACTGAAGAAAAGAATCCAATAAAAAAATGACTCCAATCTCACTTATGAATACTGAGGCCAGGCTCTAAATAAAAGATTGACAAATAGAATCCAACAATGTATCAAAATAGTAATATATTATTACATTATTTCAGTAACATAAGAGTTATTCAAAACCAGACATCTAATGACATAATTCACTATATAAAAAACTTAAATTAAAAAAAAAATCAGAAATCATTGAAAAAGCATTTGATAAAATACAAAAACATTCCTTTTTAAAATATCACAAAGTAAAAAAAAAAAAATCACAAAGTAAATGTGGAAACTATTTAAAAATACCAACAGCAAATATGGAAAAACACAGAAAACATTTCTATTTAAAACTGGTTATAGACAAAGTGGCCCACCAGCATCATTTTTATTTAATGCTGTCTTTGAGTTTCTAGTGAAAAATAGAAGAAAATTAAATAATTAGAATAACCATTGGAAAGAAAAGATAAACTACCCATTCCAGTATTCTTGCCTGTAAAATTTTATGTATATAAAAAAAAATGCTATGGACAGGGGAGCCTGGTGGGCTACAGTCCATGGAGTCACAGAGTCAGACATGACTGAGTACAAACATACAAGGGCCCACCCTAAATCCAGGGTGATCTCATCTCAAAATCCACAATTACATGTGCAAAGATAGTTCTTTCAAATAAGGTCAACTTTGCAGGTTCTGGGGTTACAATTTGGGCATACCTTTGGGGGCCACTATTAAACCTGCTGCAATCTGGTAAGAAAAAAAAAAAGATAAAACTAAAATAAAAGTTACTGGAGCTAACAAGACAATTTGGTAAAATAGCTAGATATGAAAAGTATTTTTAAAATTAATAAACTTCTTCTATTCTAGCAAGAGGCATTTAGGAATGGAAAGGAGGACAATATTGCACTCCTAATGAACAAAAAAGCTCTTAATTCTTTAGAATAAATGTATCAAGAAAGGTATAAAATAAGATATGAACAGGAGGAAAGAAATAACCATTTCTTAGACAAAAAGAGCTATGTATTTAGAAAAATGATTCTTACAAAATTGAAATATAAATTTAATGCAGTTCTAATTAGAATCACAATAGGATGGGGTTGGAGGACTGATTAAATGATATTAAAATGTGTATAAAGAAAAAGTGCCAAGATAAATATTTTTTAAGCTAATTTAACCTAATCAACATGACTAAGGTAAATAAGACACACAGATAAAACAAAACAAGAGAATTCATAAATGGATCCTTGTATATAAAAAGTTTAATGACAAAGATAGTAGTTCAATTTACAAGGGAAAGTAGGAATTACTTAACATATTATGCTACTACCACTGGTTATCCATCTTTGAGAAAACAGTCTCAACAAAGACTGGGAACCCAGAAGCTATAAAAAAATTATCATATTTGGATATGAAAAAAGTATATAGAAAAAATTATGTGGCAAAATATACCATCAGTAAAATCAACACATACAGATTTGGGAAATATGTCTATAATAAAGATGGTAGCCTGAGGGCCAATATCCAAAATATACAAAGAGGCCTTACAAGTTAAAAAAAAATATAAACAACCCCTAGGAAATGGGTAGATAATATGAGCAGACAATTCAAAGAGCAAATCCAACTGGACAAAAAATGAGAGAATACTAAAATGCATTATTAGCCAAGTAAATACATCCATTAAGCTGTCAAAATTATAAAAGAATCATAAAACCTTATGCTGATAAGGATGTGAAAAAAAGAATAATCTCATATATTACATACAAAGAGAAAAAGTGAATTATAACAGCCTGTTTTTATAAATTGATATGGTAACAAATATTTATTTTCAAATAAACATTTGTGTGTGTGTGCGTGTGTACATATGTATAAATTGAAAGCACTAGTATATAAGGGCATAAGCACAATGATGTTTAAATTCAGCATGGACTGTAGTGGCCAAAATCTGGAAAGAATATATATGTTCATTAATAGGGAAATGGCTATATAAATTGTGCATCCACAAAATATTTTCTAGCCTTTTGAAAGACAAAGAGCTGTACCAAGAGGCTTTGATAGATTTTCATGGGATGTTGTTGAGTGAAAATAAGTAGGATGTATATATAGGATTCTATTTTTGTAAAACAATGAACAACAACAACAGAACGTTCCAAAACCCATTTGTGTGTGTGTATGTGTGTGTGTGTGTGTGTGTACCTACAAGCATGAAGAAAAATATAGAAGGATACATACTGGTTTGGTAATATACAGGGACAATGTGGAAAGATAGGGCAAAGGCCATACCAAACAAGGAAAATGAGGGGCAGGGGAGGACTACTGAAAAAAAAAATCCAGCAATTATATTTATGTATTTTATATGTACAAACACATATAAATTGAATTAAGTTTAGAAAAGATACAGTAAAAAACAAAACAAAAAACAAAATATGGTCTCTGCTTATTTTAAAAAAAAGAGGGCAGTAACCAAAATAATTTCTTGGTGATGGTGTTTATTTTCTTTTTGTGTGTTTTTGCATTTTCTATAATGAGAATTACAACTCCCATAATAATGAAATAAAAACCAATAAATGTTACTTTTAAAACACTGCACTGAAAGACTGAGCCCATTTTGGGAAATCAAGGGAGGGAAACAGGGTTAAATACCCCTTCTCCTTAGGAGCTGTCCAAGTTAAGAGACTTATGAAATCGGGACCCACTACCCCTCATTCAGCAGAAAGTTATTCACCTAAGGTAAGAGACTAAGTGGCTATTCCAAGGAGCTATTTGAAGCAACAAATTGGGTATATTTTCCCCTACCTCACACTTTAATGACTTAGTAATTCAGAAAGTCATTTACACCACTCTCAAATATCCAAGGATCTGCTGGGCTCTCTACTTTTTGCCCCCTCCCTCTGGTTTGAGGCTATTTCCCTGCTCAGAGACAGCTCCAAAATGGGGGCCGGGGAAGGGGAAAGAGATGAAATTAATTGGGTCGATTTAGTTTCTCATTAGCAACTCTAATAAAAGGTTTGGTAAGCAAAATGGTCACAACTCCTGGTTCACATGAGGCTTCTGGGACTCCTGAGAATTTCATTTAAGTAAACTTGCCTTCAGACAAACACAATTTGCCTGCAATACCCTTTAATAGATTTGGATGCTTGTTATTTTAAAGAAAGTCAGGACTTGTAATAAGGTGATATTTTTCTCTCCTCATTTTAATTTGCACTTTAACAACAACAAGAGCAAGAAAAGATAAAAACACAAGAACACAGGCCTTCAAAGTATCCTCAGTGGAACAAGAGAATCACAGTACAAAGATGTGTGAATAGAGGGGGGCTGCCTGGCCCCCAACAGGCTCTCAAAAGAAACTTTAGGAGGGTGGCAACCTTCCAAGGGAGCATGTCATAGCCATAAACCGCCACCACAAGGAATCGCTAAAAGGGATCTGCCAGAGCTTACCAAAAGCACAAAGGCCAAATCTCCATATATAACATCTCCCTGTTTCATTGGACCCTTGAAGACATTTGTCTCTTGGGAAGCCCAGACACACAGCATCGCAAGTTCAATGTGCTCACAATGTGTTCACCATCCTTTTTTACCAAGCAGACAAAGCAGTTCAGCAACAGCAACAGAAAAACAATTTGCCCTTACTTGAAGATGACGATGGCTCCTGGACATGGAGGGCAGGCCAGGAGAAAGATCTGCAATGGAAAAAAAATTAAGTATGGTTATCACGAGAAATGCTGGACACAGTGAGACAGTGTTACTTTAATAATAGTAATTCTAATGACACTAATAATAAAATAACCAAACTTACACAGAAAAAATATATATAAAAAACTTTAAAAGACAAGCAAGTGGTTTTCTAAACATGTTTGTGTTTGTACATGCATCTGCGTGTGCCTGTCCTGGCTGTGTGTGCAATGGGGAAGGTGGGGGGAAGGGGAAAGAGATGGATGGAGAGTGGAAGAAGTAACTGTTTGGAGGGTAGGAGATGGGGAGAGCTTTTCCTTAAGTCATTTCAGCCTCACTTCCTTTTAACCTCTAGAATACTCAATTTTTCAATCCTTCAACTTCAGTATGATAAAAGTAGCCAGGATAAGAAGTTTTTAACCCAGGACAAGTAAAAATGGATTCTGAGCATAGGATAAGCACACGAATACCCTCTGATTTGCCTCCCATGGGGGAAGGTGGGTTAATCAATAATTAACTTTGCCAGATTTAGCAAAAAAAACACAGGATGCCAAGTTAAATTTGAATTTCAGATAAATAATGAACAATGTTTTAGTATCAGTATATCCTGGATAGTCCATGGAACATACATGTGCTAAAACATTATTCATTATCAAAATTCAAAGTTAACTGAACAGCTTGTATTTTTTATCTGGCAATCCTATTGATTTTGCCACCCCCAGGTTCTTAATTTCCCTTTGATTTTGAAGGGGAGCCGAATTTGCTACCCCAAAGTCTGTTTCTTTGGTACAAGGATTATTTTAGGCTGACTATTTTTAAGAAACAACAGACATAGGAAAAGCTCTAAAAACTGTGTAGAAGTTAACTTTCTGTACAATATATTTACATTTATATGGAAAATCTCCATTTGTTCAGGTGTCTCCCTATAGGAAAAGGATAACTCTAAATCTTTATACTCTCTCAATAAGGGAGAAGGACCTAAACCTGTGTAACAACTTTACCCTTGTTTACTGCTGGTCACCTTGTTACTTCCTGGTCACCTCTAGGAACTGGCCTTCTCCTCCACCCCTACCCCTCAACCAACACCCAACATGTTTATCTTTAGCTGGAGATGGTATTTAAGGTGGTAGCTTGGGCCATTTCAGGGAGTTCGTTTTCCTGGGTCTCCCCCATGTATACAGGAGGTATACATATTATTAAACTTCCATTGTTTTTCTCCTGTTAATCTTTTCTTGTGGAGGAGGGGGTGTGTCTCAGCCAGGAACCTAGAAGAGTAGAGGGAAAATTATTTTTCCTCCCCCACATTTGATTGGTTTGTTTCAAAGCCTGACTAGGTGGTTCCTCTTCTATTCTCCCTGCTCAAACCAAACAAAAAGAACCTGATCCTTCTAAGAGACCATCAGTTCCATGCTCCTTGGTTTGAACTAGGCTTGGGTTATTACAGCCTTCAGAAACCCACAGCAGTGGCAGTTTGACTGTTTGACTTTGCTCAAGGGGGGACAAAGAAAGCCCTGCAGAGCAGTTGTACAATGTGCAAATTCCTGGGCTCCCCCCATGAGGAATGCTCATTCCATTAAGTCAGGGGTTCCAGGAATCTGTGCATTTTAACAAAAGCCCTAGGAGATTCAACTATTCTAAGCAGCCAGGTGTGCTCAAGGTTTGATCAAAGACATTCAGCAGGACAAAAGACTGACCAAGGAATGAAACTCATGTTTATGGAGTTACTTCACCTACAGTGACTGAATGGTGCAGATTTACAAAATCATTGCTATGTGCTCCTCTCTTGTGGTGAAAATTTATGAATAGACATTATCGGCTGGCTTGGCTTTGTCCCAGGTATCTTCTTTATATTCTGTTCTTCAGTTCTCTCAGAATCTACATTTAAAAGGAAAGGGTACTCTAAGGAAAATCACTCTAAGTAGAGATACCTGAATTCCTGCAGCTAAGACTAAGAGAAAGAATGGGGAAGAAAGGGTCCTGAAAGGAACACAGCCGGGAGTCCATCACACACAATACCTCATCAGAGAACCCACCAGGAAAAAATCCATTGAGAATGTTACTTTCCCCTGTGGATCAATTTGATTAAAAGTGCAAAGCCAATGAAAATTACAGGTCCACAATCCTTTATCTGCAATCTGCCAAATCCAAAAAGCTCAAAGAAATAGAACGTCGGGTTTGATTTAAAAAACAAAAAAAACTAATTTGGTAGCAGACATGACTTGAACTGAGCTGAGGCTCTTTATAGACTGTCTTTATTCCATTTATGGTGAGTATTCACACGTTTTCCACAAGAAGAATGTACTTTGATTACGGGGTGCTGTCCCAGATCCCACTGGCAGTGTCTGTAAAACACTCCACACTCTCAGTATTGCCTTTCTAAAATCCAAAAAAACTCAAGACTTCTGAAATACATCTGACCTTCATGGTTTGGGATAAGGACTGTCAACTTGGAATTTCAATCACCCAAACATGAACTTAACCCCACTTCCCCACCCTACCCATCAGAACAGTACAGGAGATAAAGAAACCAAGCTGGTTATTCTTTACCACTGACCCGGAAGCAAAGTTACTCACCTTAGGCAAGGGACCAAGTTGGAGGCTGTACACAGTTACCCAGCATCAGGCCATCAAAGGCTACACTCAGAAGCTACAGTATATAGAAAGCAGACAGGGGCCCCCAAGTACCTTGGAAAGAATACTTCTGGAGTCACCTAAGAGTCATGCTAGCAATCTTCCTGAGCTTCTGCAATACCCTAGATACTTCCAACACACTTAAACAGAGAAGTAAAAATGCAAAACGCACACCCCCCCACCCCCCACCCCCCACCCCGCGCTGACTTTTCTATACACACAGCCAAGAGGAGATAAGCAGATTCTTGGGGAATCCCTGTAACTGCCCCATTTGGCTGGGTCTGATCCCCGACGTCCCTATGTGGGGAAGCCCAGAAACCTCCTGAAGAAAGCAAGCCTCCAGTCCCAACTTAATCATGGCTCTGATTTCTTTTGAGGCAGCCCATCTAGTCTTGACTCTTAAGTGAGTTTCCCAACAGTTACTTGCCTGTGGTCATGTTATTTCCAACCAACACACTGACTTTCCTCATCTTGCCTATCTATCCCCAACACCAGGATAGAGGGTATCTTTTCCAAGCAACGTTTAAAATCAGATACATGGAGAACATCAAAAAAGCAGGTTTGAAAAAGGACCCCGACCCCATCCTATTTCTTTTCCGGCAAACCCTCTGGCAACTTCCTAGATTTATGACACTAAAACTCTCTGCTTTGTCATGGTGGAGCCACATCCATAATCACCATCAACCAAAGGATCAGAGTGAAGATAAGATGTTAATTCAGAGGCCCAAAGGCCCCCAGCCTTGGCCCAAATATCCCTGGCTCTCTTCTTTGGTTGGCTGCCAATGGCCTCCAAATTTTGTTGGCATGTGTTTTAGCCTAGCAGATGGAAAGCTAAACTATCCCTTCAGCTGCAAATACAGGGGGAAGAGAGGACACTTGGAAGTGCAAACAAGGAGGGCAGGAAGATGAGAAGGCATCTGAGTACATCCCAGCACTGACGTGGCACTTTGTCTTCTTGCCGCCATCTGCTCCAATAGGCATCTGAAGAAAAGAGCAAGGAGCATAACAGACAAATGCTACTATGCCCTTCCATTGATCCACTGTCTGGGAGGCAAGCAGGGCTTTATTATGAAATCCCATTTTACAGACGGAGAAACCCAGGGGAAGGTTCTGACAAGGCTTCTGGCAAGAATCCAGGTCCCGTAATAAACTCTCAACACTTTTCACCTCACACCTGACATGGTCCTAGCCTCATGGGGGCTTCTCTTCTTTCGACTCTCGCCCTGTCCCTCAACTCCCACAGCACACATGGAGTCACCCCAGGGTCCTCACATCTGTACCACAACACAGCTCCTCCAATCTCCTCACAAGCTGAGACATCTCAAAACAGAGACCTGCCTAGGCAGCAAATTAAATTTACACAGATGGGTTTCAGGGTTTCAGAGTCCAACATTCCCTAAAGACAGGCTCACATTACATCCAACCAGCTTCATTTTCCGATCTACTGGGTGCTGGCGATTCTTGAATCCTTACAGAACTGAAGTCTTTTGGGGCTGGTTTTCCCTGGAAAAACCTGCAGGTTCCATTCAAAAACCACACTCTCTCAGCTTCTTCAGGAGAGAGTGACTCTGTTATCTTGCCCAGAAACTCAAAAATTCAGTTTTTTCCTAAGCACATAATCTAGGTACCAGCAGCTGTACCAGTTGATCCTCTACCTCTGAGACACTTTGGTTCCAGGTTCCCACCTTCTCCACCCAAGCTCTCAGCAACATTTGTCCCACTTCCTCTTCTTGTTTCTGTTCATGTTTCATGGTCATATTAGCCCCAAGTTCACTGGCATCAATACCCTGTTCCCTGTCGAATTCTACTCAACCCCAACATCAGATTCATTAACACTTCATGGTCATAACACTGAAAGAAGATAATTTTTGTTCATAGGAAGAAGTGTTAGTACTATGAGAAATGTAGGCAGGAAGGATGGCCAGTCACCAAGGCCATCCTAACTGAGGGGCTAGCCAGGTTAAGCAGTGAAAGGATGGGGAAACTAAATCAAAGGGAAAGACAGGGAGAGAGGGACAGGAGAGTGGCATTTGGCTTGCAACACAATCTTCCGAGGCCCAGCTCCAGTTCTCTTGGCTCCACCGCCTAGGAGGGTACCCATCTACTTGGGGGTTCTTAAAGGAATGCCTATAAACATAACCCACCATAGCAAAGATCCATTCCTTGGGCTACCCAAAGTCTGTCTTGGGTTTTATTCACTAATGTTAATACTCTTGGGGCCTCATCTTCTCTCTCCTTGGACTGATGAAATGATTTTCACTGGTTTCTTGCCTCCAGACACACTGCTGGTAAGGGGGATTGCTCTAAAATGCATCTCTGATCTTTCCTTTAGAATCCTTTAATGGCTGGCCAGTAACTACTGGAAAAGCTCAAGCTC